TGATCGAAATTGATAAATTAATTATTATCTTCAATTAATTTGTCATTTCTGTCACGTCCTTGACCTAGCCGTATTTTTACGGTTTTAATTCAACCTCTATTTTCTGTCCATAAACGTTTTGTTAATTATGTTTAGGTTATGAAAAATATATTTTTTTACAATGACATACTCTGTAAAGAGAGTAGGCTACTTCTCGCAATTATATTTGTAGTGTGCGCCATTTTTTGTTCACTACAAATCAAAGCAATATATTTCAGAAGCAAATATACCCTGCAAAGTTAGAAGTTTCTTTTTTTAATCAATTTATTTATTCCCTCATATAAAACATATATACAACACATAAATAATCTACAGCATATACATACCATAGAAGATCTGGGTGTCGTCCTTCTTCATCTGTCGCAGCATCAGTGACCTGTTGGCACCAGATCCTGGCCAGATGGTATCGAAGGCATTCTTTTCTTAATTATTTTTGTCGTCGATTTCTGGATTTAGTGTATGGTTCTATTTAATATTAACCATTTAATCCTCTTTTTGAATTGTATAAATTTCATTGTTTTTACCTCCTCTGCTAAATTATTGAATGTTTGAATTGTTTTTGTTGATAGTCTCTGTGTTAATGTCTTATTTTTTACTTTATGGCTTTTAATATGTGACTTTCTCCTTGTTTGGTAATTAATTGTAAACTTCCTTGTTTGTATTTAATTTAATATTCGTTTTTATAGTATTGTTTTGTATTTTATACAGCAGTAGCAAGCTATTAAAAAGTATTAGGTTTTTAAGTTGCTATTGAGTCTCCTAGTTTCAAAACCCGACAAATCCATTTTTCGGGAAAAATGAGATAATGATATGTCAATGGATTCGTCTTCTTGGTATCTAGAACCTAACATAATATACAGGGTGGCCCGAACTGTATTCCGGAAAGTTCGGCAGCATATTCTGCACATAATAATAAGTAAAACATTTCGTATAAATGTATATCTTAAAATGCTTAGTTTAGCGATACAGGGTGCAGAAGTTTCATTTTTATTTCGTTTTTTTCCAAATAACTTATAAAGTAACGTCTATATTTCGATGAAAATTGGTGTGTAGGAGTTTTTTGACCTGAGAAATTTGATTTTGATGTCAATATGACTCCTACTTTTAGACGGCGCCACCTACATATTTTTTAACTGGTTTGAAAATAATTTTTAATAACTTTTTGTCCGTACCTGTATAAAAGTAGTGAGTAAAAAATATATATTTGCGACGTTTTTTTACGTTAAAAAGGTCTCTTGGTAAAAATAGCGACGACTAATGGTTCTCGAGATATTTGGAATCGAAATTATCAATACCTGTCATCATTGACATGTATTAAACATGTTGACTATAAATAGTTATTAGACTGATTTCATAAATTTGACATGATTTTGTGTTAAAAGTTTGCTTTATGCTCATTTTTTCGAAGAAAAATTTATGATTAATTTAAAAAACAAAAAGTTACCAAATTTATCATTTCAGTTGAATAACTAACTATTCAACATATGTTTATTTTTTGTCAATAATGACTTGTACTGACTAATTCCATTCTAAATATCTTGAGAACGGTTAATCCAAGCGATTTTTACCAAGAGACATTTTTACGTAAAAAATTACCAAAATGTATATTTTTTTGCTCAGTCGTTTTATACAGGTACGGACGAAAAATTATTACTCTTCAAACAAGTTAAAAAATATGTAGGTGGCGCCCTCTACAAGTAAGAGTCATATTGACATCAAAATCAAATTTCTCATGTTAAAAGACTCCCACACACCAATTTTCATCAAAATATTGACGTTACTTCAGAAATTATTTAGGAAAAATCAAAATAAAAATGAAACTTCAACACTAACTATCTCCGAAACTAAGCAATTTAGGACACACATTAACATGTTATTATACTCGCCTTGGGTTTTATCCAGGCTCAGGACTCCAATGTAAAGACATCGAGTTGGCGAGTCATCAAATCGAGGGAGGAGTACCATTGTTAGGTCCTCACAATAGGAATTACAGATTTTACCGGGTGCGTCTCGAAAGTGGCCAACCCTTATAACTCTTTTACTTTTTCAGAAAAAAAAACGATTTTTTTACGAATTATTTGGCATTTTACGAATAATTTAGTACCACACACTTGGTATTTCGAATCAAATTGTCGTTATGAATCGCATGTTATAATATCAAATAAACCATATCCGAAAATGTCAAAAGTTGACATACAACATGTCATTCTATTTAGAGTGTTATTTTTTATCAGATAAAAAGTCATGGAAATGTATATTTTTCAGTCAGTAGTTTTATACCGGTACGGACGAAAAGTTATTACTCTTAAAAACAGTTAAAACATATGTAGGTGGCGCCCCCTACAAATAGGAGTCATTTGGCATCAAAATCAAATTTCTCGTGTCACAAAACTACCAGATACCAATTTTCCTCGAAATATTGACGTTACTTCAGAAATAATTTGGAAAGAATTGAAATAAAAATGAAACTCCTACACCGTGTATCTCCGAAAATAAGCATTTTAGGACATACATTTATACGAACTTTTTTACTTATTTTTACTTTCAAACATTCTGCACAGATTTTATAGTCACCCGTATTACTTTATATACCCTGATAATTCCTAAGGTAATGCTTAACACATACTTATATGAGATATGAGCAATGTGTCCTGCAATACCTCGTACAATACTTTCTAAATTAAAATTACAAAAAATCGAAATTATCATAATCGAACAATAAACCAATATAATTATAAAGGTCAAAATTTATTCAAATTAATTCTTAAATAAAAATTAAATTCTCAATTTTTTAAAGTGACATTTTCATTTTGATCAAATAGTATTTAGTATTTTGTATAATACACCTAATATGAAATTGCAAATTCCAAAATGAGGTGCCTATTTTCATGATAATATAATGAAGATTAATATTTCACAGGAAAAATTGTACGTATATTTTTAATAAACTTTGCTTTTGTACGAAAAAAAAAAACACTAGGGAACCGAATGTTCGTGAATATACAGTAATGTTTATATTTGTTAGTGACGTTGCCAATGTTGACCAAAATCATTAAACATTTACAATGTATTGAACAAACCGAAAATCAAAATAAATATATCTTAGCATCATATAACTGCTTAACACTTTTTAATTTTAAACAAATTTTAATTCGTAGTTTTAATATCAGAATTCTATTAAAGATAATCGGAAACATTTTTTATATAATTTTCAATATCCATATTGATTCTTTCTCTTTTATTATTCAGCATTACAATAATTACATGTATTATATTACTCTATGTTTATTTATTTACAAGATAATCCTAAGTCTCTGTAAACTAATGCAAGTTAATTTATATCTATAACTAAACCTGTGATAATAATATCTACTGCTTATTTAATATAGACTGGATTTATAAGGAATGACAACAATAAACATATACAGGGTGGTCCGAATTGTATTCCGGAAACTTCAGCAGCAAATTCTGCAGATGAAAATAAGTAAAAAACTTCGTATAAATGTATGTCCAAAAATGCTTAATTTCAGAGATACAGGGTGTAGAAGTTTCATTTTTATTTCGATTTTTTCCAATTAATTTCTGAAGTAACGTCAATATTTGGACGAAAATTGGTGTCTGGGATTTTTTTGACATGAAATATTTGATTTTGATGTCAATATGACTTCTATTTGTATAGGGGGCGCCACGTACATGTGTTTTATTTCTCTTGAAGAGTAATAACTTTTCGTGCATACCTGTATAAAACTACTGAGTGAAAAAATATACATTTCCGTGACTTTTTACGTAAAAAATGTCTCTTGGGAAAAATCGCTACGAGCAACCGTTCTCAAGATATTTCGAACGGAATTAGTCAATAATGTCATTATTGACAAAAAAATAAACAACTTTGAGTAGATATTAATTTGACTGAAATAATAAATTTGCGAAATTTTATTTTTTTTAAATCGATCATAAATTTTTCTGCGAAAAAATGATGATAAGACAATTTCTGTTGAACTTTTGACACAAAAACATTTCAAATTTATGATTTCAGTCTAATAACTGTTTAGTCAACATGTTTAATTTATGTCAATGATGACAGGTATTGATACTTTCGATTCCAAATATCTCGAGAACTATTACTCGTGCCGATTTTTACCAAGAGACATTTTTTACGTGGAAAACTTCGTAAATGTATATTTTTTTACTTAGCAGTTTTATACATGTACGGACGAAAAGATATTACTTTTCAAAACTGTTAAAACACATGTAGCTGGCGCCCCCTACAAATAAGAGTCATATTGACATCAAAATCAAATTTCTCATATCCAAAACTCCCTGACACTAATTTTCATCCAAGTATTGACGTTACTTCAGAAATTATTTGGAAAAAATCGAAACAAAAATGAAACTTCTACACCCTGTATCTCCGACACTAAGCATTTTAGGACATACAATTTATACGACCTTTTTTACTTATTTTTACCTGCAGAATATGCTGACGAAGTTTCCGGAATACAGTTCGGACCACATATTTACATATAAAACCTGATTACACCTATTATAAATATATACTCACATCAGTCTTAAATAAATCTAAGGTGATAGCCGAAGTCAAATCCTTAATGCATACATTTAAATCCATTTTATATGCAGTAATATAAGTCATCCAAAATTTGAAAATGTAACCACTTTAACCAAAATATTTAATTTTCACTTAAATTTATTTTAAACGTTTCATATTGATAACAGTCAATGCACACCACTTTCACGGTTCACTAAATACACGCGCACGGCAGAAAGTAGGTACCGGTACCATCACTGAAAAATATCGGCGCGGTATACTGACTAACTGTGACTGTCATCCGTAATGAATGAAATTCGATGGCCGAATGATGTAAAACGGAAATGAAAATTTGGAATACGAAAAAATAGGTACTACGCCGCCGCTTCAATTGTAAGCAAGGTAAGGTACTCACCGACGATTCCGCTGGTACGAAATGCTGTGATTGGTGGGCACCGGCAGCTCCTGGGCCGTACTGTCCGGCATTCTGCATTAGGCACTGCAAAAAAATGGACAAATTAATAACTGTAAGTTTTATAAACACTAACATAGGTCATACCGTATGATCGGAAAAAAACGACGTCCAGTTAGCTTGGAAATAACGCGCGATCGATGACATTTCTCATATAATTTTACATATAAAATGACAGAGCGATCTTCAATTTACAGTCATATTTTTTCGATCATATTGTATATTATACAGGTTGTTTCAAAAAACATGTGCCATCTCTCGTGGGGAGATTCCTCACGTAAAAACAAGATTTATTTTTCAAATCAACATAGTTGAATGAAATTTTGAGGGTAAAAGTTACTATAAATTCGACATATTTTAAAGCTAAAAAAGTGTCGACATATTTACCAGGGACGTGCATATGGGTTATCACTGGAATATTTTTCTGAAAAAAACATGTACGCCACTGACTTTTTTTTCTCTTGTTAGCGAAATACCTAGTGTAAGCACTTTTATGCCGATTAAAAGTTGTCTCTTGATATTTTGTTGATTTCGGCCTTTTTGATGAGATAAACGCAATTTTATTAATTTGCCTTGTTACAAGTCTAATAGCAACCTTTAAAAAAAAATTAATATCATTAACTTGCGAAAATTTTAAATAAGTACTCATTGATTCCTCATCAAAAAATATGAAAAAAAGTTCCTATAAACATGGGTATGGAAATGCATAGTTTTGGAGTTACAGGATGTTAAAAATTTTTAAAATTAGGTTTTTTTAATTATCTTAGTTTGGACTAAAAGTAATAATAACTGATAGTAATAATATTTAATAAGAAATTACGAAAAATTATATAATTTATTAATTTTATTTTTATTTTAATTTTATTAATTGTGACTAATAAAATTGCGTTTATCTCATCGAGAAGGCCGAATTCGACAAAATATCAAGAAATAACTTTGAATTGGCATTAAATGGCCTACACAATTTTGAAATCAAAATAAAAAATGCCAGTGGCGCACCTGTTTTTTTTTTAAACATTCCAGTGATAACCCATATGCACGTCGCTGGTAAATATGTCGACACTTTTTTAGCTTTAACATATGTCGCATTTATAGTAACTTTTACCCTCAAAATTTTAGTCGAAACGCTAAATGTATTTGAAAGAAAATTATAATAAATCGAAAAAATATTAAGATTTTAATACCCTGTAGCTACGAAACAAAGCAGAATCGGACCTATGTTCATATGAAAAATAAATCTTATTTTTACGTGAGGATTCTCCCCACGAGAGATGGCACATGTTTTTTGAAACACACTGTATATTCAATTAAGTTACAGTAATAAAAATTGGTTTAATTATACTAAATTCCTATATTTGCTTGTATCTAGTTTTATTGTTAGGGTGCACCAAAAAAAAAATCATTTAATCAAGGAGCCTTGGAAAAATAGACTTGATCGTCTAATGTTTTTTGTGTCTTGTTCTGGCCATATATACCTATCTCAATTTTTTCAAATGGAACGAGGGTAGGTAGTTCATTAGCATATTTAGAAAAATCATTTTTTTGCGAATAATTTGATACCACACACTTGGTATTTGGTATTTCGAGTCAAATTGTCGTTATGAACCACATGTTACAATTATTTTAAATAAACCATATGCCAAAATGTCAATAGTTGACAGATGATACGTCATTCCATTCAGAGTGTCATTTTCTATCAAATAAAGAAAAAAAAACAGAGAGTGTAATTTAAACTTCAAAAGTTGATTTCAAATCAAAAGTTGAAGTAATTTCCGGTGAAACAGGAAGTGACCAAAAACAATTCTATACGTCACTCATTCCTAATTTATGTCATATACTAACATACCAAATCTCGTTTTTTTTATCTGAAAAAATAAAAAAAGTTATAGAGGTGAGCCACTTTTGAGCACCCGGTATATCTTTTTAGATAAAACATTCTTTATTACCTAAACCTGCAACAACACCTTAACACCTTCAATAACTTTCAGTCGACTAAAAGAAAAGTCATATCAGACCTTTCTTGAAGATCGTTCAATTCGTATGATCGAAAAAAACAGCGTCTGGTTGGCTTGGAAATGACGATCCCCATATAATTTTACATGTAAAAAAATGACATCGATTTTCATTTCATCGCCATCGCTGACGCCGTTTGTTCTCGATCATACGGTACAATCCACTATTTAGACCGTTTTTCATAATACAAAATTATGCCTTTCTATAATATAGTTTAAATATTAGAGGAAACACAGATTCCTTTACTTTTCAATATTATCTATCTATAAAGAAACTCATATTATATTCATATTTTGAAAAATCTCAATTCCTAAAGAAGATTAAATCAATATTAACGTAAAGCCAACGTGTCTCCCTTTTTGTTATTTACGTGTAATTTAAGTAACGTAAGTAGACAATTGTGTGCTTAATGACGCTTTGTGTACAAAAAGACACTAATATTTTTCTTAGATTTAATGTTGTCTTGAAAGTCCCGTTTTGTCTTGGCATGTGTCACGTTCTATCGAAAATAGTTAATGGTGGAACTAGTGCGTAAAACAACGTTTGTGCACCGGAGGATCAAGGAAACCGTGCTTGGCTTATGATCCTATAACAATGGCAAAATATAATTTAACCATATTGCAAAAAAACTGGTTGACATAATATAGAAAAAATTAAAATATTTATTTTACATTTCAGGTGTCCATTTCAATATGTCGAAAAATTAAATATTTTTGTAATTAATAAATTTACTCATAGTGTACAGGGTGTCCCATTCTCGTAGGATTGGGACACGTATGCGAGTAGAAATACAAAGATGCGGTTTTCACGTCACTTTGCTACTTTTTTATGAAACTAAAGATGCTACACGCCGATTTGTCCTAGCCATCTTAGTGCCTGAAATACTGGGGACTCATTTCACCTTTTACAGTCACTACTTGGTATGTCAAAACCGAACCAAAAGTCTCAAAACATAAAAGTTTATTAAAAATTAATGCTTAATTAAGAAAAAAGTAAAAAGTATCCAAAGGAGGCTAGGTATCCAACATATTTTCAAAAATAGTTTTAGCTATATGTATGCAATGGTCACTTCAAAGGCCGTATTTACTCCATTATGTGATTCATAAAGAAAACAATCTGAGTTATAGACATTAATTTATTTATTTTTTTAACAAATGTAAAAAAATACAGGGTGACGATTTGACAATTTGAAAACGATCAGTATTTAATATTGCCTCTACCGATGATAGTATGAAAATTTGGCGAAACACGTCAATTTACATATTAAGGGGGGCAATTTTTGAAGCATTTGTTGTCGTGTTACTTTAAACCCCTTGACCCCCAGGGCACCTACCCCTAAAATTTTAAATAGCAACCCCTATTTCTTTTACCATTTTTGTGTTTCTTATAGAATTCTACATAAACTGCATTATTTTTTTGAGAATTTTATAAGGAACACAAAAATGGTAAAAGAAATAGGGGTTGCCATTTAAAATTTTAGGGGTAGGTGCCCTGGGGGTCAAAGGGTTGAAAGCAACACGACAACAAATGCTCAAAAATTGTCCCCCTTGATATGTAAATTGACGTATTTCGCCAAATTTTCATACTATCATCGGTAGAGGCAATATTAAATACTGTTCGTTTTCAAATTGTCACCCTGTATGTACCTATATAAAACAATGTACAAAAGAAATAAATTGCAGAAATTTATGTGTTGCTATTGAAAATTGAAAAAAAAAACAAATTGATTGTTTTGTAAAAATTCATGTAAATCGCATATAGTCTGTAATGGTAAATGACTGCCTGATTTGAATATGACGTCAAAACAGAAGAATCAATCTAATTTTGAATTAAATTGACTATTATTGTCACTGATGTATACAGGGTGGTCCGAAATGTATTCAAGAATACTCTGCAGACAGATAAAAATATTCTGAAATTTTAGTTTTAGTAGTTTGTATAATGAGTTTTAATATCGACGCTATACTCGCTTTCGTTATGGAAATAACCAACTAGAAGAACATTAACCAGTTATGAAGAAAAACATTAAAAATATTCTTAAAACACCAAAATAAACCACAAAAATATACCTGGAGTTTGAGAACATAGGTATTGTGTCTATCTTTCAATTAATTATTATTCTTAAAATAGTGTAGCGATAATATAATTATTAGTCATTTCAAACGACTGCTATGATCAAATATTCAGAAAAATAATATTGTGCACAAATAAAGTATTAAGGGTTTTATGGGGCTGTTTATCTAACAAAAACAAATATTTTCGAAACTAGTCAGGTAAGAGGATACTCAGGTCTAAACTAATGTTCATTGTTCAAATCCATAAATTCATCGGCCTATCAGTTGTTAGGTATACTTACAATCGAAAAAAAAATATTGGGGATTTACATGCCAATTCATACGGATATTACCATGAATAAGATACGACTTTTGCGGATCACAAAGGTCAACATTTGTTCAGCATAATTTTAAAAATTTCTTCTTATGATGTAACTCATTATGCCATGCTTTTATATATCTCTAAAAATATTGCATAGCGTGTTTTGTAAATCCTTGCATGATTTACATATTTAAATATTCCGTATACTAAGCGAACATAGAAATATATCAATATAAAATGTAATGCCATGTCATACATAAAGTACATTTGGACCATAATTATAAAAAAAAAAAATTGAAGTTTCTAAATTGTATTATTCTTGATAAAAATCCCTTCATTTCAAAAAAGGGTATAGCCGGAATCAAAATAATTCACCTAAATTTTTAGCTCTTTAACTCAAACGGTTTTCGAGATTTTCAAAAAACCCTGTTTTTTCAATTTTATTTTTATTTTTATATTAAAATTCAAAATTAATTAATAATGTTTTTATTTTCTAATTCTTAGAAGTCTAAGATATGAAAAAAATAATATGACCATGATTCTTAAAGGAAAAGCCGATTTTTAGCGGAAGAAAGAAAATTAAAATCTTCATTTCTTTAACCTTTGTGAAATATATCATTCACTAAAATCCGTCAGAA